TATCAGTTATCACCATGGAGGTGTATCAATATATACACCTCTATGGTTATCACCAACTGTCAGCCCGACGGCTTATTGTCTGCCAACTTAATTTAGGGAGCGGTTGTTATTTCTTGATCGAATGAGTAAGCGGTTTCTGGAACATTACGGGGTTTAAACGTACAACAGTTGGCAGAAGATTAATTCAAGAATTTACTTTGTCTCCAATATGTATGGTAAATGGACAGTAAGTAACGACAGATGCATTCTGAAAATCACCCCCCCCCCCCAATCAAGTTACGGGACAAACATGGCGTCTAAAAACAGATTCTTTTTTTTATATTTTGGGGTATTTCCCCATGAATAATAATAATAATAATAATAATCGTTTTCTATAGCGCTGAACATTCAGTCAGTCCGACTGCTCCGTGGCGCTTTAAAGTGGGAGGATCGTCCCTGGGTTGGCACGAACCACCAACCTTTCGGTTAACAGTGTTAACAGTGTTTTGAGTCTTTAAAGGTTATCCTTGAGAGTGGCTCATTTTCAGAAAGACTCAGATGCGTTTACATTTTTTTCAAGCAACATATCCTTGATGAAAAACCTGAATTCTAACTGCGGAGTGATTATAATTTTTATTACAAAAACTAAATAAATTGGATGTGATAATTAAGCTCTGGGAATAATTCGGCATATTTGGATATCGCTATTTACCGTACGTGAGTCTACAGATGAGCAAGAGCTTCCGATTGGTCAAAATCAGGATTTGTACGCTTTATAAAGTATTTTTCTGTGTATTATTTCGCCTTCGCCGACAGCGTATAGTTGTTCGGGTAAGACGACAAACCGGGATCCCGTGTACACATTTGTGTGCACGTAATAGAACCCTTGGCAGTTGGAATGCGATACGAGTGTAGGCCGTAGCGCCGCTGTCCGTGCAAAATTTCACTCATAACACACTGTATACTGTATGGCGTAAACCCGCTTTCATTAGCCCAATCGGAGCACAACAGTAGGACATTAAACCCTATTCCAGTTCATTCCATCTTTAAATATCTTTATATCTGTTCCAATTTAACTCGTCTAGATGTTATCTAAATCTTCAAGATGATCAAATACGTCAATTTTAGTAACATAGAAATTATCCATTAAAATTAATGACGCAATAGGTGCGCACAAAGAAGAATTGATGTAAACGCTATTTATAAATTGTTGTATAATGATTACAAGTCATTACTCTTCCATTATTTAAAAAAAAAACTAAAATCGATGCGCATTTAGTTTTACAAAAAGACTATTATAACAGTAAATAATACCATGAAAGCGACTTCACGTGGGTTGTGTTATCCGGTTTATTTAGTTCTGTTTTGTTATAGAAGAGATTTAATTTCGTGTGCGTAATAAACAACATGTACATAATTGTTCGTATAAGACCGGTGTCATTTGTACAAAGAACAATAAGAGCTGAAGTGTTTATGAGAGGGAGAGAGAAATAGTGAGAGAGAGAGAAAGAGAGAGAGGGAGATTTAATGATACCACTTTATGATACCACTTAATTCTAATAGCGGAAATTAAGGTTAATAAAAGGGAAAGATAGAGAGAGAGGAGAGAGAGAGAGAGATAATTTTAACGTCCATTCGACGCAAACTAGGTCATTTTGGGACTGATATATTGTTCAATTTTATTTCATTGGTTCGCTTGCGCGTAGGGGTCTTTAGCAGTGGGAGAAAACCCCCACGAGGTTAAACAGGCGATCCTATTTATACCCCTTGTCATGTACAAGCCCTGAATCGAAACCACGCCACTTGGCTTAATAACAGACATTATAATGCAAGGCACACGCGTTAACCATTCAGCCCCAACTCCCATCAAGTGTTTATGAAAGAATATCAACGGCTTTTTTTCATTTTTATAGAAATGAAATGAAAATGACGTGAATGGGATTTAACATCCTGCTCCGACAAGGCTCATGAAGATTGGTGGACGCTAAATAGGGAAATTTTGCCCGGAGAACGGCGCTACGGACTACTATTATATCGAATTCCAACTGCCAAGGGATATTCTACGAGCATGTCCCTGACCAGACCCGCTGTCCTACTCCTGTACCACTGATTAACTTTCTAATCATTTCTGATCTTCCGTAGCACGATGTAAACAAACCACGAGGGGGATGTATTATTATATACCTTTTTAAAATACAGATGTGACGTCAACCTTTAATGTTGGCGAACCATTATTTCAAATAATCGTACTTGCCAATCGTACATTATTTATACTAGTGAAATATTGGACTCGTGTGACGTATTTCACTGTAAAAGCACGTGCGGGGTTTCTGTATTTTAAGTCGTTTAATGGTCTCGAGCTTAAGACATTGCGTAATATATTGTAAAAACACTCGGGCCTCGCTCTCGACCATTAAACAATACATAAGGGGGTGGGGTGGGGTGACAAGTCCGTGTTTGTCATATTAATTTTAGCCATTTTAATTAACAAATTGATGAATTGGCCATGAATATTATAGCCGCAGTATCACCAAGAATATATAATAAGTGTTTGTAATCATGTCTATAAATTTATAGCTACAGGAGACATGTTGTCTTTTTATGGAATTATTTGCTTCATAAGGTTTGAATTGCCCAAAAATGAATAATAAGCGAATATACTGCTTTTATTCAATTACATTTAATAAGATGAGTTTTAATAATAGCTCAAGGCATACATAAAAGTTTTTATTCCTTTTATTATGGTTTAGATTTAGAAAAGAAAAAAAAAAACTTCCGCGCACTAATATGGTTATCGGAAGAAGCAGTGTTAATACAGTTACGTAAAAGGTAGGGAAAATTGGGATAAATAGATTTACTGCTGTGTCCGCGTGTTTTTACGGTATTGTATTCCTTAATGCATTTACCACTTAAATATCTAACATTCAAATCGCTCTGCAAAAAATCCAAAAAGCTACACATGACATTTTGTATAATTATAATTGATCTAACAGATTAAACAAAAATATATACAATTATCTTATTCTGTTGCATCCGAAAAAAAATGGCCGCACAATGATATCTACTGCACGAAAATGAAACGGGGATAAACAGTGTTAGAGAGAGAGAGAGAGAGAGAGAGAGGTTTAACGTTCACTCGACACAAACAAGGTCATTCCGGTGTTTCTAGCCTAGCAGTCCTTGCAAAATTTCCCTCATAGCACACTGTATGGCGTATGCCCGTCTTCATTAGCCCAGGTTAGGAGCAGAACAGTAGGACGTTAAACTCCATTTCATTTCATTTCATTTTCTAGCCTAGCAAGGAACAGTGGTTGGTGATTTGCATGGCAGGGAAAACCGAGGTGCCTTGTAAACGTTGGCAAAATTTCCCGCATAGCACACTGTATGAGAAAGAGAGAGAGAGAGAGCGAGAGAGGTTTAACTTTCACTCGACACAAACTACGTCATTCCGGGGACTAACATATGGTTCAATTTTATTTCAATAATTCTCTATTGCGTAGGGGTCTTTAGCAGTGGGAGGAAATCAGGGTACCCGAAGAAAACCCATGAGGATGGTCAGGCGACCCTACCCCTTGTCACGTATTAGCGGGTAATCGAAACTACGCCACTCGACTAAGTCACAATCCTTCTGAGCAACGCGCACGTGTTGACGATATTCTGCAATTTAGAGATAGCGATAACGATATAGACATATAATGCTGAAATAAAGAAATAACGATGCTGATATAGACAAGAGCTAACGATGCTGAGTTACAGAGATGGAGATAACTAAACCTGGATATAGAGATAACGATGCTGGGATATGAGGATAACGATGCTGGGATATGAGGATAACGATGCTGGGATATGAGGATAACGATGCTGGGATAGAGCTATAACGATGCTGAAATATGAAGATAAAATAACGATACTGAGTTATAGAGATACCGATATAGAGAACGATGCTGGAATATAGAGTATGTATACTATATAATAACCACAGTCTTTACTTTAATTTTGTAACTTGCGCACATTTGTGAAAATATCCTGTAATATCCTGTCTAGCCTTTAATGGCTGTCTAGGAGTGAGACCATATTATTACAAACCAAATGATTTATATAAAAGATGAATCACGCAACCTACAGCAATAGTAAATTACCTCTAGCCATTTAAAACATGGCTGGTTCTGAAATAGATTTTGACCGGATTTTGCGCAGTCTGTAGGAGGGGGAGCATTATGTAACCATAAATGACAAATGACCCGCTCTAGCTATAAATATCAAATCTTATCAGGTATTTTAGTGTATAATGTCCAAATTTCAACATAGCCCCCATTATTTAGTACGGGGGTGGGGGCGTGTGCACTGGATCCGAAGATCTGTCACTGAGTCAAATGATTTCGCTTGTACGTGACAAGGAGTAGGGTCGGATGTCCAATCTCGTTGTTTTTTTCCGGTTCCCCCGGTTCCTCCCACTGACTATATGTTAGTCCCGAAATGACCTAGTTTGTGTCGATTGGACGTTAAACCCCCTCTCTCTCTAGAGAAAATAAGATAATATAGTATTGTATATTTGCGTAATATCAGCCAAGTAAAAGAATTTTGCCCAGACAACGTCGCGGTGTTTCCAATTACTCTAAATAATCCCAATCTGTTTCACAGAGGATTACGAAAGTTTTCTAATATCTCTGTAAAGGATGACTACCTTTAGCACGTGACCTCTTATCACGCGGCGTCAATCATTAGCTCAATAGCGCGTACAGTGTTTACATAAGACGTTACTAGTTCGAGCGGAATGGAGTCTTTTACTCATTTTAATACCCATTTACACTAAATAGGAAACAATTTTTACCTAAAAATACGTCAAACGTCTTTATTTATTTTTCTAATAATAAAAAAATGTTTTCGAAGTTAATATTTGTGCCTCATTAAGTCGCATCGATGTCATGCTTATCAGTGATTGTCGCGGCCTAGCGAATATTCACTGCTGATCATTGTGGAGTAATCTGTGAGCAAATTCGTCAACAATTAAACATATTTACCTGTATAATTAAACTGGTCCATATCCAAAGTCAGGTTGCTCATCTCGTCCATCTTGGTTTTGTCTTGAGATTACTGAAAAATATGAGACATGTTTGTTTTACTGATTTGTGTAATTATGTATTTAAGAATCTCTGTTTTAGCCCATTCGGGTCGCATTAAGGCGGGTCTTAGGTTGTATTTACGACGGAGCGCAATATACTCCACTTAACAACCATAACCCCACACTCCACCCTACACCGGACTTGTTATTTAAATAGGTGTCCGCGGTGGATCAGTGAGTAAGTTCGCTAACCAGGAGGGCTCGAGTTCGCTCCCTGGATTTTCCGATGTAGTTTCTTGTTGTCATTGTGGTGCAGGACAGAGGGCATAACCAGGAACGGTGCCTCGTAGTTCAGACGGAACGAATCGCCGGGGTACTATGTATAAATTGGCATACCCGTAAAAGAAACTTTTACAATTCGAAATAAAAGTCGCAGCTACGGCGTAAGGAAAAATCCCTTCATAGAACATAGCATGATGTATGCCCGTCTTGATTAGCCCAGTCGGTGCAGAAAAGTAGGACATCAAATACCATTTCATTTCACCCCATGTTCATCGGGATTTCCGACAAGGAAGGGCAGCTGTCTAGTCGTTCGGATGGGAAGAAAACCCGAAGTAAAAAATCCCTTGGCAGTTGGAATTCGATATATAAGAGTAGGCCATAGTGCCGTTGCCCGGGAAAATTGCCCTCATAGCACACTGTATGACGTATGCCCGTCTTCATTAGCGTAGCCGGAGCAGAACAGTAGGACGTTAAACCACATTTTATTTCACTTCACCCCCATCCTACAGAGGACTTTCTATTCAGAGAACTATCGCTACTACTAGTAATTGGCTCGTTACCAGAGCTTAATTGTGTCCGTCGGTTGAGTGGGGTGGTGGTGACAGGGAGGGAGATGGGTACGTGATGAGATTGGGTAAATTCAGAATCCAATTGACATGTATATTTTTTAATCCATCATTGTTGTTGTCAGCACTAAACGCACGCCACTGCGGGACTACTTTGGAGGTCTCTAAAAATTATATTAAATATTCTGTCACGGTTTAGAATTAATACCACATCAAATTTCCCTCTCGTTTAACAGATCATAGTTTTCAAATTTTGTAAATGATGCTGTATTTCTTTTTACAACTCATTCATGTAGAGACTCCATTCTCATTGGTTGAGATCCGGCAAATACACTCATGAAACCCCTAACAATATTAATCTTTAAACAATAATGAGAAAAAAATTGGCTTTATCATCAAATAAGTCATCTCACGAGTCATAAAATATCTCGGTGTGAAGGTCCACCGCGAAATTTCCCAAGAGATATAACTTTAATTTATTGCATTTTTGTACTCCAGGAAGGTAATTGATATATACCTGATTTTCTATCGTATTCGTTATTAAATGTTAAAATGTATTCTAAATATTTATTTAAAGGAACTAAACCTCCAATAACGAAATGAAATGAAATGGGGTTTAACGTTCTACTGTTCTGCTCCTAATGAAGACGGGCATACGCCATGCAGTGTGTTATGAGAGAAATTTTGCCCGGACAGCGGCACTACGGTCTCCTCTAATATCGAATTCCAACTGTCAAGGGATCTTTAACGTGCACGCCAATGTGTACACGGGGCCTCCAACTCAGTATTATCGATAATATTGGAAACACGAATTAGAATTCAATATTGTTCCATTTCAATCAAAATTAATGTTGTTATCTTGCTTTAGAATTACAGGATTCTAATATGCAATATTTAAACTGTAAAACAGTACACAACATTGTGTACTTTATGGCCATGGTTTTGGGTACTATTTGTAAGGAACAAGGAAAAGAATATATCTCAAGACACTGCTTAAGCATATCGAATTCCATCTGCAAAGGGTTCTTTTACGTGCACGCAAACGTGTACCAGGGACATCGGTTTTTGTCCCCTCTGAACGACTAGACAGATGTCCTTTTCAGGACCTTCGTCCTGCACCATTGACAATGGAAAACCACGTCGGAAAATTCCGATGAACTTTCGCGGCCATCACCGGGTGCAAACCCGCGACCTCCAGACTAGCGAGCCAGCGCCTTATTCACTTAAGCACCGTAGCTCCTCGTTCAGTATCAACTGTTCACATATTTCACCGAACATGATTAATTAAAAAATCTAAATAAGTCAATCGATCCGCAGTTGTCCAATGAACAAGCATGCCAAGTTGCATGTTGATCGTACTTGAATTGGCGTAGCATTATAGGCTTTTTTTCGAAAAGAGTCGCCCCCCCCCCCCCCACGCACAACCCACCACCAAGAAGAAGACCAACAAGATGGGTTGTGAGCGCTTGGGGATAAGTTCTTGGTGCCAAAATGTATTCTCTCAATATTGCAATTAATCACTGATGAGTTATATCGGATATGTCAGTATTTAGATAACTATGAATGCGATTTTAAATTACTTACGGACTGTGAACCGTTCAAACACATCAACGACCACGACGTTGACAAGAAATCTGTGATTTGATTGATCTAATACATTATTTACACGCAAATAGAAAGCATGTTATTTATTTACCTATAGGGCACCTGTCACAAACATGTTTCCCATTACGATGATTGCCACTAATGCTTATCATTTACAATGGCGCTGTAGAATTATCTATTTGTTAATTACACAAGGGTCTCGTATTTCCAGACGTATGGAGACGTGTAAAATCATTTCATCATTTGATTATATCGATGATTAATGTCTTGATCTCATAAGTGGGGTGTTAACGCACTTATTTTGTAACAACTAATCATTCGAAATAGGATTCTAAGTACTTAATGTAGGCATGGTGGTTCAGCGAGTAAAGCCGGTGTTGTCCGGACAAGTTCTTCGCGGATTGTGGTGTGGTATCTCCCTGGCTAGAACTATTTCTCAAGGCCAACTCAAGATTTCATCAAGGTCCCTGAGATGTAAAAAAGGTTACGGCACGTGATTGTTGGCAAGACTGTAGATTAGGGTAAGGGTAAGCGTTTACATCTCGTGACCTTTGACCAAGCTTAAAGTTGGCCTTATGAAATAGACCTAACCGGTTTTCGCTGGCCAGTGTTGCAAGGCGGGAGCGCTTCGCAGGGTAGGACGTCTAGGGCGTCTAGGCGTTCCGAATGGGGCGACAAGCCGAGGTCCTGTGTACACATAAAAGAATCATTGACATTTGCAATTCGACGGCAATAGTCATAGCACATTACATGGCGTATGTCTGTCTCCATTAGCCCGCTTGGTGCAGGAAAGTAAAATATTAAACATCATTTCATTTGTAATAAATTAAGAATAAAAAAAAGGTCTACTCAACGAATATTTCGTAAAATTCAACCAAATACAGCTTTGATCTAGCTCAAAATATAATGTTAAATTTGGTTCATATGGTGCTTTATTTATTCCGATTATTGTTCGGATAAAATCTATTAAAATAAGTTGAAGTCAAGGTTTTTAAAAATTAATTTTAGTTTCAGTTTTCGCTTCCAAATGAAACGTTTACAGGGGAACAATGGAAATGGAAAGTTAATACACCACTTCAAGTTAAGGAGATATATCGTCTTCACATTGACTGTGTTATATAAAAAATTATAATGTTTTTAAAGTATACTATGCGTTAGTCGGAACTGTCATTGATACAGTTACAAAAGAAGAATGCCCAAAACTAATAATTAATTACGCGTTTTTGACCCACGAATGACATGTACAATTTTAAGAGTGGTCGGGTTGTATCAATCCGCTAAGTGAATCCTGAAAGGTAATAAATACATAGACAACTGACGCTGGTACTTCATATCAAGTAGAGTCATATTTCCATTAACTATCTTGATTCCGGTTGAGCTATAATGGTTTATGCTGATATGATGTATGGTCATAGATTGGATATTGTTTATTCTCCATGTAAACATGCTAGGTTTATCGGACTACATAAATGATCCCATTGAATACTCACAAATGTCGTATCATTTCTGACAAGGCATCAATCACACAATCAGAAGATTTATAACTATTGCCTTTGCAAAAATATTTTTTAATACATGCACTTTATGTTTCTGTTTTTGATATAATATATATCCATCTAGGAAACATTATAGAATATGGGGGACAATGTTGCTCATTATTATTAATTCAAATGTATTCCCCCACTTCAAATTAATTACTGGAATATGAAGTAATTCTACGGTGAAATAAAAATTCAAATTTATTCCCTCACCTCATATATTAGGTCTATTGGAATATAAAGTAATTTTACGACGAAATGATAAATAAAAACAAAACGGGGATATTTTTTTTATTTTATTGGAAATTAATCTGCAGATATTGCAATAAAAATTCCTTGAATTAATTAAAACAACCCAAAATACAAAGTATCATGAACTTACGCAGTTGATTGATAATTAATCAGGCGAGTTCATAATGTAATTTAATTAAATATCATACACTTTTCTCCGGGCAATTTTTGTAGCCGCGTAAATAAAAATTAAGAGCTACTTTAGCAACAACGCCACTCAATCCACACGAATTCAAATGACGCGACTGGGTTAACGAGAACGGCAATCCAAAAGAATTTTCGACTTGGTGAAAATATTTGGTTGTTCTTGTATGTCTTCATTGCCGAGTGAGAAAATTACTTGAAACATCCTATGGTTCTTCTCGGACTATACTTAGAGTAGAACCCTGGATAGCAAACCCAGTGCTCGACTACATTGTCGCTGACCGATACTAAATATATAATACAAATAAACGTGTGATAAAACACGAAAAAGATACAGTGTTAATACAGCAGTGACTGTCGAAAGTAGATGAAATTTAATAAAATGGGTTTTAACGTCCTACTTATGAGCACAGGTCGTACGCTCTTGTGATTTAGTGGCTTTCCTGATATTATGACCTTACCAATATCCATTATAATGTATGGCTTCACTTTTTGGCTACACGGCAACTGACAAGGCCTGCATTTACACATCAGGGTCACCAAAGGGCCGAGATCCGTTCTGAATCTGAATCGTGCGCTAATGAAGACGGACATGGCCTGTATTTA